ACTACAGAGGTTTCAGTAAGTGGAAGGAAGCAAAGGCGGCCGCTGCACAGCGTACGAGAAGGGAATGCTTGGTTTCGAAGGCCCAGAAGAATATGTCGAAAACTGAAAAAGAAGATACGCAAGTGCCGACCTCAAAACCGTTTTTCTCTTCGTAGCCGAGTATGACTGCAAGGCATACGAGACGGAGGTAAGGCCTTGCGGCAGGATGCTGGAGCTTGGTTAGAGGAAACGCAAGAGGAAGGAAAGTTACGCTATCTACATCTATACAGTGTTGAAACAGGTGCACCCAGACACCGGTATCAGCTCTAAGGCATCGAGCATCATAGTTTCGTGAATGGTATTTTCGAGCGAATTGCTGCTGAGGCTTTGACGTTGGCTCATTCTATTAAGAGATCTACGATCACAAAGTCTTGAGACACAAGACTTGCTACGTGGTGAACTGGCTATCCTTGCGGTGAGTGACGTGTCGTAGGCAGTCGCTAAGTATATCAGTTCCGAATAGACTAGCTTTCAATGTATTTCGGCCCTTTTCAGGGCCCAATATGATCATTGGTGGTATTGTTTGTCTTTTCGAATTTACTTTTGCTTGGAGTGTTATTTTAGCGTGTGCTCATGATAAATTCTTTTTTATGGCCACGCTTGATGTTCGATGGTTGTTTTCCGTGATCTTTGGATATTCATTTCTCTTCTGATTTTGCTTTCTTAGTTTGAGTGAATTTTGGGTTACGTATTCCAATGTCTCGTGGTATCCGTTACTTTTCCTGGACGCATTAATCAGCATTGCAATTATTTTAATCAAGCACAAACAACTATTAACACTTGAAGTGGGCCTGGCAATAGTGTCTTCTTTATAGTGTTGTGCTTATTTATTTTCTTATACACTACACTGCATGCAAGGTTGTAAGATTTCTTCTATTTTGTTAGACACGTAAAGACGAATCGGCAGTTATCGATCTCCGTCCACCACCAGTCGCCAAGGGCATGCGCGTCATCACAACCTTGAATGTTCTTCCGTACACTACTCAAGTGGGATTTTATAATATTAACATTGATTCACTTTCATAGCGTTCTATTAATTTAAGTACTTGCTACCGAATGGTGGGCATTATTACAGCCAACATTTTTCTCTCAAATCGGTGCTGATTTTCAGTCAGCTACTAGGAATACGCATCCTATGACCCAAAACACGTACCGATTCACTGCAGTGCCCATTTTGAAGCTCGTGTAAAGGCTCAACTCAATGCTGCGAATTTTGAGGGCAATTTTGAATATTTTAGGAGGAATTAGGAGCACAACGGAGCTTGCTTTTTGATTTAGTAAACTTCACTCTAATCTTCATTATTTCCTTATTTGGGACCACCTATTTATTTGTTATTAAATTTCTGGTTTTGAACAGAAGTAGAATTTATTTACCATGGATCCTTCATAGTCCCAAATCAAGCATGTACAAGTTGTCATGTAAGACCTCAACCTATCTGCCCGTTCTTGCACCTCACTTTTAAAATTTCTGTCGTAACTTGGTTGTCCCAACATGATTGTTGTTTAACCAACCAAAATAGCTAACTAAGGGCGGGGTGCTGCGCAAACATTGTCCCTTGCTAGGTGACACCACTCCTGCGCACGAAACGCATTGCTGGAAATGATTGATTGTTGTTTACTTGTAGGTCTTCTTCTTTGACTCATATTCGTTTCCAATAATCTTGTTATTCTGTACTCATCTATTCTCAATCATTTGGTTTTGAATTTCCTCTGGGAATCTTTTCTGGTTCTCCCTACTATTACCCCCAGAAATGTCATTTCAAGCAATTGTATTATACACTCCTGTCTGTTATTTCATGTTTATCTCTGCTCCATGTAATAGTATCGTTTGAAAATATACGTATGTTAAATACCATAATTGTACATTTCCTGTCTATCTTTACTCCATTATTAAGTTTAACCATTAGCAAAATTATTCCAATTGGAAATCTTTCCAATTCTTTCATTTCTCTTGTTTTGCTTCTGCTAGGTTTCCCCATAATCTGGACATTGCTGTCTTCCTGGTCAGTATTTCCTGCTTATTCTTTCTGAATGGCTTAATCTCATCTCTGGTTTCTTTACCCCAAATCAAAATGTGTTTGTATCTACAAGCTTGCCATCCTTGAGGCCACAGAGGCGTCCGCTCCCAAGCTTCGAGCCCGCGTTCACAGGCGACCGCCCCTGCCCGCTATTATTCAGGATGAAATACGCCTATTGCTGGCAGTTCGTTTCGCAGTAAGTGCACTCGAGCCGAGCTAGTTTGCTCCGCGATTATCGAAAACACAATGAAACGCGAGAATGAGTGTTGGGAGATACCTGTCCAGCATATGAGCTAATATTCCTCATCGCAGTCCCTCGGCATAGAATTCTGCCTTGCCACTGGATGCAATAACCTACCTCCAAACACAACAAGCCATTCACGAAAAGCGTGAGACGAGATATCTTCGAGTTAAGATACACACCGCTCGTCCAGTACTTGGATGGATGAACATTTTCTAAAATCCATTTTTTTTTACATGGTGTTTATCAAATAAACACAGAAGGTAAGGGTTCAGGCGTCTATCATTTGCTTCAAGATTTTTATAAATTTTATTCCATGAAAAATATAGCTGGATGGTATTTTCCCTCCTAAATATAACACACCATTCAGGAAAGGCATGTGATTGTGCGTCTCGGCGTTAAGATACAAAGCGTTTGTTCGACACTTGGAAGAGTGAACATATTGCTGAAAAATATTTTACTTTAACAGGGTGCCTAAAGATAGTCACAGAAGGTAAGTTGCAAAGGCGTCTATCATTAGTTGACTGTATATCGCAGAGGAATACCAGGTGACCTTCAGCGTGGATGGTTTATTATCCTACTGTGTCGGGCAGTGCACCAAGTGCTGACGAGTACGTACGTGTTCCACCAAGAACATATCGGGTATAGACTGAAATACTGTATTGTATCACGACGTTTATATTATTCATCAGCCTCTGAGCAGCTTCTGATTTATACCCACCGAGAGGGTCAACCGAGATTTTCTCCTTCAACGGTATTTAGAAAAGCATGATTTCAGCAGGTAAAATCTATCTGCCGTATATTTCTACTTATCACCATGGTTTTTATATTGGTAATTTTGAGGAAGTTGTCGGAGATGAATCTCACTCGGCTCAGCCCTGTTGCTGTTAGTGGTACAGGCTGGAAGCGTTAACGTTTTCCAAAGTGTATCCGCAATCCGTTCTCATACTTTTTGTCATTCAAAAAATAATGTTTGTGTAGGAAATAATTGAATGCTTTTGATTTACAAGTAAAATTCTTTAATCATTTGCCAACGGCTGTACCATGTTGAAAACACCGGTTTTCGTGTGATCAACGCAGTTAGCAGCTAACGGGCGTGGCCAGTACTTGAATGGGTGACGCTTGGGAACAACACGTGCTATTGGCATCGATTTTTTTTTAATATCTGTATTAAGCACGTCGCCGTCCAACTAGGCTTCGTTATTTTGATTTGTTTAAAAGTTATAAAGTTAAAAAGTGTTGTATAGACAGGAATTTTCTCTAGCCTTTGGTTACCTCTTGTTTCATGTGTGCAACTCTTCCATATTTTACATATTTATTAATTATTTGGTGTGTTAGCAATTGTGAATAGCCACTGTTGTTACTAAAATATAACTTTAATATTTGGTGAAAGTTCATTGGTATGCTTTATATCGAAGAGAGAAAAATGACTTCAAATTACGTACGTGTGGTATGCCTGTAGTAAAGAGTATTTAAAACAGTAGTGCCACCATTCAATGATTTCTCTTTGTCATTCAGTGAAGTTTCATTCATTTGTCGCTCTCGGGGAGTCTCAGGTGGTAGATGAAGCCAAAACATACGACTTTGTATTGTGTTAGAATGAATTGTTACATGATGACGGATATTATTATCAGTGTTCTTACTGATCCTCATGTTTTGTGCCACTTGTGAGGAATCGGGTGGCTTCCGTACATTTGACGATGTCAGCATTTGTATCTGTTTTCTCAATTCTATATTTAGTACAGTGAGTTTTATCCACTTTCAGCAAACAATGGTGGCACATAAAGACAGTGTTTATGAACAAATTACACAGCTCTCTCAGAAGATCTCAAAACAACATACCGCCAGACACCCTCTGGAACACTGCAGCCCCAGTGTAATTGTAAGGCGTCTGCGCACCATTTCATATGGAATCCTGTTAAACAAGTCTCGTACATCATGTAAGTAGCATTTTCTTATGTTGATTTTTCAGAGCCAAAGCCTTTAATTTTTAATTTAAACATTTTCTCCAAATTCAGTGTTATTCTCGCATCATCTTACAGATTCCTGTGCTGAGAACAATGAAAAGTGGGATGCATTGTCTCAGATCTTGGCATATTCATACAAATTACATGAGTGTCGCCAGACTACGCAAGCTATGAGGCTCTATGATCTTATAAGTGGTCTGTCAAATGCCGGTTGGGATAAGAACCCCACGGTGGACACCATTTTGCTTTTCCTAGTCCATATGGCAGGACACGAAGTGCAAGTTTCTGCATGTGACACCAATCTGAAGGTGAGTATATTCCAGCTACGAGAGTTACTTCTCATGGGGGTGTTTAAGAACATAACCCCTGTTAATGGCTTAGTTATGCTGTATTCACTTTCATTGTCATTTCAACAAAAGAAATTCTTTCATATCCATGTGGTGATATTATTACAGAGAGTGCCACTCATCTGCAAACCTGTGAATAGGCAGACGTTGAAAATCGCATCGCATATACGTCCGAAGCCGTACGAAGAGTTTCCACCCCATATGTTTGAACTGACCACTGCACTGAACATTCAGAACAATACTACAGACTTTCTGTTCATCCAGGAGCCGGGTATGGGGCTGGAAGTGCTTGGAAAATTTGGGGCACGAGCAAAAGTGTAAGTTTTTGTGACATTCATGCTCAAAGTTGTGTAACTGACTTCTATGCAGGGACCTTGCTAGGTATGAGTGCAGGTTTTTCTGTATTCATGCTGAAACTGTTGGCATATCAGTGACTTAGATTGGAAATTTAAATATTACAGGCCTTTGTATGGCTCGGAAACCACGTCGGGCTGTCCTGTCAATAAGAGCGGCAGAATTTGACCAGTGGGCACTCTCACCTCAGAAATGGAAACTTCATATCACTGGCAGGGAAAGGCAAAGAAAATTCCTTTAACTGTACTTGATGACATTTGCATTAATGTTTAAATTAGAATTCTATCCATATTTTAAACTTTTTTGCAACAGATTACTATTTTTCTAATTTATGGGGAATGTCATTATGACGTGCAGTTCACCAATGTAGACATCCAGTTCGTTTTGTGTGAACTTGAGATATACTTTTTGTATCTTAATTGCGTCATGTTTGTGTTATATCAATACATATATTTATTTTATCCAGTCTATACACAAAACTTGTTTTAAAATATTTATAACATTTACAATATAAATTGCATTATGTTATATTTTAGGCGCTTTTCTGTGTCATATAATATTACATTTATCTCAGCGCTTTTTGATTTCGACGACATGTTTCGATGTTTTACCACATCATCATCGGGCTTATCAATTCATATATTTTTAAAAACTATTGTACATTTGTGCATTGCGTTTATAGATTTTTAATTTTTTAGTCTTCATCTTGATTTGGAGTATGCATTTTGATGTTCATTATCAGGTTGTATTGTGATGTGTCGGACGTCTGATATCCACAGACGATAAACTGCAACTCTTGCTATCCTGTTTGTAAATTTATTGCCCTCTTTTGTAATAAATATTTCTGTGTCATGTAAATTCATGGTCTTTAAAAACATATGAATATATCTTACAGTACTTATCAGCATTTTAATACATCACCAAATTCAAATTTAACTCATTGATATTCCCTACTCCTTGCATCTTTTACTGTAATTTTTTCTGATGACTGTCCACCATGTTTATAGCTAATTCCTATTCATGGTTTTCCTTAGTTCCTTCAACTTATATATATATATATATATATATCTCTGCTCATATCTTCACATAACTGATACATTTAATGCAGCATCTAACTTATTAATTGTTCCGTAACGTTGTTATAGCACCTAAGTAGGGTGTCATGTAACTACATCGTGATTTCCACAGTTCTCAGAGCAAAAAACCCACATTTTTACAGGAAGCAGCACCCACTAGTAGAGTTCAACTTTTGCGATCTCACAAAGCCACGTGACCTGGTAATACCAAAGGAAGCCTCCGCTCCGGAGCAGCAGGTAATAGAAATGGGTTTAACAGTATTCTTTGTTCGGTAAATTTCTTGGGACAGTTAGAATAGAACATGATTTATTCTTGAACTATTTGTTATATTCTGTACTGATTGCCTTATTATCATCTCATAATATCAGTTAGGATTCTTGATAGTTTTGCAGTGAAAGAGAAAACTGGAAAATTATAAAAAAGTTTTAATGAGAGCAAAATTTGTTACAGATGCCACAGCTGATGGGCAGTAAATTTATGTTGGTCCCAAAATTTCACTGTGTGTGTGTGTATAAGTTAGGTTTTCTTTTCAGGACATCTTAATTTTTGAAAAATCAGGATTTGTTGAAATGGTTGTTAGTTACACGGAAATATGGTATTTCTATCTCGCATTATGTCATAAGATTTTATACATAGTTCCGCATGTATAAGAACTCCAAGTGTTTTAAAGTTGTAAAATAATATAAGAGCATCTCATAATTTCTGTGCTTTTCGTGTAGAGCCTTAAAGCATTTTCTTCATGTGCGGTGAAAGCTGAATTTCTTATATTTCAAGGATGAAGGCTACGTGTCTCCCAGTCAGGAGAACACGATGTCTGGGAGTTGTATGAGCACTGGAGGGGAGCCCCTAGGAGGTGATGCATGGGAGACGGTACTCACGATGGGCTGGCCAGTGCCGCGGTCATGGGCAACAATTGGCAGTTTAGCTCCGCAAAAAGAAAAACCATTTCTCACAGACGCAGGAATGGATTGCGTCCAAAAAGTCTGGAAAGTCATAAGGGGGCATAGTGTCATGTATATGAATAAGTCTTTGGCTGAACACGTGCTCTTGACAGATATAAGTCGCAAGCAGTTGATACAGGATCTCAAATTCCTGCTAATTGGAGTGCCGTCGGAAACCTTCCCGTATGACGAGGTACGATGCAGGGAAACTAAGTGAGATTTCAGGTTCTGACATCAGTGAGTCTGAAGATGGCTGTCTTCTGGGTTGCAGTACAGTGTAGTCTGGTAGAAGTTTACCGACGTTTCAGAGGTAATTGCTGCCTCCAACATCAGTCTGAAATGTTAACGTCTACTGCACTGTATAAGATTTGAGGTTTTCACAGCAGTGAGTCTGAAGATTGCTGTCTTCTATCTACTGGACTCCACGGTGCATGAACCCAGAATGCAGCCATCGTAATATTACAACAATTTATCGCTTCTCTTCTTATACTTAATATCAGTACTGTACCTGCAGTTGTTATCAGATTCTGCAACTTTTCTTTGATGTCATCCAACTATAAAATACTGTTTACTATTACTATTTATAAATTCACAGATTTGCCTATCACTTCAATGCATTTCTTTTTTCACAAGCAGTTTTGTGCACTGGTCTATAACCTTACTTTTCATATAGTTCTCAGACTCAAACAATACTGTATTCTTCTCATCTGTCATTATTGCTATCTCGTCATATTTTTAACACGTATTTCTGTTCTGTATGTGATATAACGAGTGCAACAGTGGATGGGCTGCAGATGGTGTAATGCATTTAACCTTCCTCGAAGGTCTTAGTACTTTTTGTATTATAGTAGGTAATAAATTAAAATCTAACAAAATGTTGGTATCACTGACGTTAAATAAGAGTGGGGTTCAACATAATAATGAAGAATACGAATTATGAAACTCGTCTTTCGCGGTGCATTACCGATCAAAGTATTCGTGTGAGTCCAGTCAGGCTCCCCCGCTGAAACCTTTTAATCTGCATTATTCTTTGTCAGTGATGAGTGGACGCAGTTCGTAGATAAGAAAGTAAAGACGTTGATTTGGTTTCAGTTCCTTTTATGTCTGTTACCATTTCCACAGGAAGAAAATGGATTTGTGATGAAGAATGGCGTGTGTGTGCAGGGTGTGACTCCAGAAACATTGCGCTCGTTCTGTGAGAAGTTTCTGGTCACTGGCACTTGCTGCCTGCGCCTGAGAAAGCTTGTGGAATGCAAATTGATAACCGGTAATCATGCACAAGAAGGACTGATGTTCCAGGTCTGTTCTGGCAGTTTTCATTACCATAATTTGAATGTTAAAAACATGAATTTGTGTTTTACTTTTACTCTCTATGGAAAATAAAGAGACTTGTGATGTCTCCATGCTTAATCTAGGGCCATATCTTATACTGTAGGTCTTCTTTTGAGTTCATTTTTAATGTAATCTGACATATGAACCTAAAATCACAGCCTGCCTTCTGTAAATGTTGCTGTTTCCTTAGCATCTGAAAGTCTGTAAAAATTATTGATAATTGATTGTAATAAGGTAATGTACTTACAAAACAAAACAGAAGGTTTATGCTCTATCCATCTTAAAGTTTTGTGAGCCTTCTTTAGGCATGTTCACATCCCTTTTGAGTACCTGTTAAAGTCTGCCTGTCTCTCTGTCAGTCAGTTTGTGTAAAACAACTGCACAGCACAGAAATCAATTTTCTTTAAATTTCATGTTGGAGAACTTTGCAAAACATTGTCAAGCCATTATTCTAGTTTTAATTTAAGTGGTTGGCACTCCTTCATATTCAGAAGGTCCTGCATTCAAATCTCGGCCCGGAGACCGGCTATTCTGGCCGATTTTTTGTGGTTTTCCTCTGTCCCAGGCACCTTAAAGTAGGCCATGACCACATCCTTCCAAATCCTTTCCAGTCCATCGTCATGCTCCCATTTGATGCTATATAGTCTCAGCTAGTGAAGAAGCGTCATTAAATAAACTACAGATAAATAAATATACTAATCACCTCAAATCTTTCACGGAATACAATTTGATTTCTTTAGGCTCTGTGTGGAAATATACGTTCGTACCTGCACTTCTACCGCGCGGCTGTGATGATGTTACCAGAGGACCCAGTGCTCACACGTCTGCTACAACAGGTTGATGGACTTCACATTCAAATGACATATTTAGGACACTTGTATAAAGTGCACCCTAGCACAAGACAAGATGATGTCACGTTGCCTGAAGGAGTAATGCTGCTGTCTTACTTGTACGAAGAAATCTGCAAAGTGACTAGGAAAGATGTTGCCTGCATCCTGTATTCTGCTATGCATTCATGCTGTCAAGTATATTTCAGGTAGGAGTGCAGGATGGTATATACTGTGCATTACAGATGATATTTCACTTTTATTTCATGTAATGAAGGTATTATACACTGTTTATCCTATCAGGATGGAAAACAACAAACCCACATTTATCACGGGATAGTACATTCCTCGAAAGTTGTGTGTTGAGTGAATCCGTATTGCATGAACTTAATGTTGTGTACGTTTAATGGTAATATGGGAACATGGCCATGCAAAGTTAAAGTACATAAACACAAATATAACCAGGCTCCCTGGTAGCAGAACCCACAGATCGAACACCAAAGCCCGCCAATGGCCACGATCCTGAGCCAACTCCATCCTCACAGCCCACCTCCCAAAGATATCCTACAACCTCCTCCTTGATCTGCCCAGTGGTCGTTTTCTAGAAGGCTTCCCTACCAAAATCATGTCTGCACCCCTTGCCTCCATCCTCCTGAGCACCTTTTTCAAACACTTGTAATCAACATTCTTCCTTCAAGGCGAGACAACAGGCAAAATTATTGTTTTATTTATCCCGATCTTTTGTGTTTTGGATTGTAAACAAGATGATAACAGTTTTTGAACTGAATAAAAACAAGCTTTTAATTTCAATTTGTTTTTCTTCTGAGATACTGAAATTTTTAAACACTTTCAAACAAAGAAATGCAAATAAACTGTAATAATATTTATTTATAATGGATAATTGGACTTCAAAATGAAATATCAATGGAATGTCTGCTGCTGCTCTCTTACTACCGTGTAACTAATCTTGAATCTTTATTTTCCCTTGTAGTTCCATAACTTAACAACTTTTCTTTACTTCATTGCCGCTTTTACATTTATAATTTGATCCACAGTTCTATCATAGGGCAATATAATAATCAGTAAAATTTGGGAAAACAATACTACGTAAGTTATGCTGTGGTGACAGCATAAGCAAGGCTGAGACTGTGGGTTCGTGTACTTTCTATGATGAAGAGGGGGCAGAAGACACAGGAGGAAGAAATCGCAGAATGACAGTCGAGCTGAATACTTACTCTCTCAAATATGCTCAATAAGACATATTAAGTTGGTTGCACAGATTGTTTGAGTTTATTTTCGTTCGTATAATCAAATCTGCGTCGGACAAACCTTCCGTGGGGGAGGGTTTACTGTATTTACTAGACGCACGTGATTCTGATGTATGTGATGCCGAGTGGGCTTTGTAATTTCAGCTTCGTGCAGAAGTGGATCTTTGAAGGATTGTGCCAGGATGCGTACACTGAGTTCTTCATACAGGAGCAGCCCGACCTCATGACCTCTCGCGAGCGAGAGTACTGGAGCCGTGGCTATTACATGATCAAAGAAGCTGTGCCAGGATTCTTGCAAGGCTTAGACGTTGCCATCTTCCAGTGTGGGAAGGCTCTAAACCTTCTGAAACTATGCAACCCCCAGGTAAAAATTGCATTTAAACTATGGACAAGTGATCTCTGAAGTTCAGGTATTTATGCCAGATATAATCACAGCGGTGCACATCACCTGCTTGAGTTTTTTTATGTGAACAGATTTACGTCTTGCAACATCCACTGTTTATGTGCTCCTTCCCCTCACTTATGAGGTTAATTGCGTTCCGTTTGCCTCTTTTTTGACCATTCCAAGTAATGGATATTTTTACTCTTAAACAACCGAAGATGTACACAGTGATCAGATTTACCATTAAAATTATTTGATTTCTCTGTATAAAGCAGCAGAAGATGGTGAAAAGTTTACAGTACCTTTTAAATTTATTTGTATGTAAACACTGGAAATATGGGAGTGACCGAAGCGCTGTTTGTATCGTAATTCTTCGTAGTTGTTGAACTCGGTATGTCTGAATGATGAAACGTTAAAACCAGTCGCTGTCTAATTTGCATGAAATATTTAAATGTCGTTAATTTTTTTTTCCGAAGGCGTAGATGTAAGATGCTGAAATTATCTGTGGAATTAGGTCCTTGGTAGGCGATTTTGTATGAAGCATTTTCTCTATGGAAGTGTCCTCTTGCAGAGCAGCTGTGTAATGGTGGTAGTTTTAGGAAACCTTACATAAGTGAACTTACGTATATTCAATGAGGTCTCCCATACGGTGTTCCCAGTTATTAGTGTTTCTGTTTAACAGCTGCATACCAGCCTCCACACAGAACCAGAGACATTTACGTTTGTAAATAATTTAACTGTAAACTGTCTTTCAAAGATGAAACTCCTGTATGATGGAATCTGTTGCAAGCAGTCATGATTAAAGAAAAAAGCAAAGTGTGTTATTTCTGTTAATTTCTAATAAACTTAATATGATATTTTTCCCTGTTATGTTGGCAGTGGGACTACAGTGTAATTTGGTTTATGTAACTAGTTGAAGCGACTACATTTTCACATTGTAAGACTGCCATCGAAAGTAGTTATGTAATGTTATGTGCTTTTTATTCTTTTGAGAAGCATTTTAATATTTTTCTAGTGTTCAGTTTTGTGAATCCAATGGTTTCGTTTATCATGGCTAAGAGACGTACTATCACGAATTCTGAAGTTTGAAGGCTACCAGTGATAGGCATTCTTTCTTCTAAGAAGAAAGTATTAAAATAAAAGTGACAGTGGAACCACGGTTCCGGAGAATTAGACGTAAATACGTCTATACGGAAAGGAAGTTTATATATTGGCTTTATTCTAAATATTTCCTTTATACATGCTTTACATTTAAGTAACGTTTGATTAAGACTTTGCTTATTTAACTTGAATTAGTTACGCTTAAGATGGGTCTGTAGTAGCTGAATGTAATGTAAAGTAATGTAATGTAATGAAATGTAAGGTAAGGTAATGAAATGTTTTATAGGTAACATCAATGCTGAGTAAACAATTGTCGTTTCCTAGGCAACCAGGTTACACTTTTTCCTTTCCCTTTTTCGTTCCTCTTTTTTGCCGAATGACCCTTCAATATAGACGTATTTACGTCAAAAAATTGTGATCCATTATTACCATAAACAGCGATAACAGAGTAACCCTGTTTTAAATTAGTACTGGCATGGAGGAGAACTGTATTAAAGAGAGCATGATTTATTACTAGGCCTACACGTGTAGAGGTATGAACCTGAGATACAGACCCAGAACAGGGTACTTCTATAATAATCAAGGGTGATGGTGAGGGCACAGCAGAAGACAGCCATCTTCATACTCACCGTTGTGAGAACCTCAGATCCTACATAAAATTGTGTGTGTTCTTCAGATATGGCAGTCTGAGCTTAGCATACAAGCTGGACAGGCTTTAACCTCATAAAGCTGTACAGCTCCATGTAACATCTCCTGGTACACCATTGTGGTCTTGACGCAGGTTACATTAAACGCGTCGACCTTCCTTTCCACTCGTCAGTCTTCATAGCACTGTTTCTGGAAATCCCCAATTGGTTTCATTTGGACTGAATCCACTCCTCATGTCCTACTCTAATAGTGTCTGCCGATATCCTTCCCGACTGCCACCAGTTGCCGGGGTCTTCCAGCCTTAATCAGTTGCCCACTCTCCAATCATGGACATTTATAACTCTTACAGTTGCAGCACTAATGTCTTCTCTTTGTGCCCAGACATGTTACAGCGTGCGCAATGCGTGTTTCAGGACGCGTTGTGCGTGGTACTACAGAGTGGTTACCCGGCTGTACGATGCTGTCTGCACACTGAAGATCTTCAGCAGCTGGAAGCAGAATGTCTGAGTTACGAACGCGGAGCGCTGGCTGCATGTGGAGAACCACTTGAATTGCACCATTATTTCCAGTCCATGAAGGAGGAAGAACATGCGTTTGAGCAAACCGTTCAGACTGCCCACCAGGCCTCGCTCCAGAGGCTCAAATGTGAGTAGCGCAATGCACTGAACGACGTCTTGCAGTTTTGTTCGTCCTTTATGTACAGTGCATGTTACAAAGGCAACATCTGTGTCCAGCTGTAATAGTTCATGTTTGAAGTTGTGGATTGGATTTTATCATACTTGCTTTGGGGAATATATTCTTTGAGCACTGTGTATTAATGAATTATGATACAATATACATAGTCAAGACTCATATTGTATTGATAGGGATCATGCTCCTTTGCGATTGTCATTTTGCCTGACCACTCTGAAGTCTCAAGGTAAGACAGGCTGTTTGTGGGAACACAGCCACAAACGTGATTGTGGTGTCGTCAGTTGCTCAGCTCCAAAGAAACCTGTTGCCATTTAATTTTTCAGAGGCAAGACTATTCAAAGGTCATATGATTTGCCTTCCCATTGTCAGATTTCATTTTTTCATAGTGGTCAGTATGAAGAAGACTTGTCTTCTGGAATTTTGCGACATATAGTCTGGTAAAAGTTTACCACCATTTCAGAGGTTCTTGCTGCCTCCATTATCAGGAAGACTCATCACGCTGATGACAGAGGCAGCAAGTACCTCTGAAATGGTGGTAAACTTTTACCAGACAATATGTCGCAAAATTCAAGAAGGCAGTCATCATTGCGCATTCAATATTGTTTAAATCCCGTGTATCACTACAGAACTGCATCGTACATTCAGTGCACAAGCGAAAGGATGAGTAAGAAAATGTGTATGTGTTCCCAGCCATACAGAAAATTATCGCATTTCATTTTCATGTGTATGAGGTCACAGTACACTGGCACATAACTTGAGGCATGGTGACCGTTACTAAACATCCTGTATTATGGTGTATTTAGCACAGCAGAAGCGTGCTGGCAGGCGTCTTGCTGCCGCTCCACATGCCAAATGTCTCTATGTATTGTTTATTTTCCCATCATACCTATCAGAAGAATTCTTTAGGATTTTATTATCCAGAAAATATTAAGTGATATAAAAGTCATGAAGGTTTTCATCATGTAGCATATTAAGTTGATTACTTCATCCTTTAGGTTAAAAACTTTTATACTTCATGTTTTTGCATCCATACAAATGATTGTCAGACTCAATATTTCAGAATTGATGTTCAGAACTTTGTAAATTAGAATTACAGTAGTTTTTGAACTGAAATGTCCTTAATTTATTCTCCTAAATGTAATATAAATGAGCTGGGTAGCTCATTCAGTATAGTGTCTGACTGCAGACTGGGCGACCGGGGTTCGATCCCTACCAGGGGCGGAGGATTTTTCCTCTAGCCTCTGTATCCAGACCGGCTCTGGGGCCCACCTAGCCTCCTATCCAAGGGGTACCGGGGTCCGTTTCCAGGGGTAAAGTGCGGCTGGGACATGACGTTGACCGCTCACCCTATCTAGAGCCCAGGTTAAGATTGAGTAGGAGCTATACCTCCTCTCCCCCAACCGCCTGCATGGCACAAAGCAGTTCTGCTTTACCTAAATGTATTGTGAAGTTTATTTCTCTTTATTTGTTTCTTTCCAGATACATTTGGAATCATTCTTGAATGATTTACCATGTAGTTATATTATAAATCTACTATTGTGTTGTGTATATGTATAAATTTTGTACATGTTTTGAGGATGGTGAAAAGCGTGCATGATATTTTATTGGTCTCGTAATGACTGGGAATTGAGTTGTTTAAATCTGGTATGTAGTATTGTAACGATGTAGTTTGTAGTGTTTGAAACCGACTCGGTGAGCTCACGTTAGTGTGCATTTGTCAGTTTCTTGTATATTTTGTTGCATGAAGTGCTTGAAATTAGTGCGTAATGGGGAAATTATGTCAGTCCATGTGTGCCACGGTGGTCTAGCGGTTAGAACGCTGGCCTTGTAATCCTGGGGTCTCGGGTTCGATTCCCGGCGGTGCCCGGATTTATAACTTGTGTTGGGCAAGGCCGTGGTCTAGGCAACACGGAGTTTTCCTCCGTGGCATCCCAACAATTACTCCATTCACACACAGAAGAAGGCAATGGCAAACCACTTCTGGATCATCCGCCAAGAACGTATATGAACAGGTCCCAATCCGAGAAAAGGATGGAAGGATCCTGCTCATATGGACCTGTCCTCAGACAGAAAACTAAATAAATAAAAATAAACATACAACAATATTGACATGAAATGCCACCAATATAGCTGTTATTACAATGATGAACGTCTAAAACACTGTCACTTCAACTACAAAACACACATCATCAGGCTGGTACAGAAACATAACACAGTGAAACTACTACTGAATTACTGTTGTATCTTAAATGAGGCACATGAAACTACAAAATGGATTTTGATGATGCTTTTAGAAATTGTCAGGCACATTTAATTTTGCTTCATGAAAGTGCATGCTAGTCTAGTATTAAAGTCTACCTGCATACAAGAATAAGTACATGTTTTATAGATGCCATTGATGTTTACAACTTTTATTTTACTCATTTCATAATGCACTGGAATAACGAATATTTCACAAAACGCAAGGAAAGGTAATTTATGACAGTGTGGAGTGTTTTATCTGTAGTTTGATTAGCTATGAAACATTAAATTTGTCTCTGCAATAGAGGGCGTATGCATAATTTCAGAGTGCACATTTTGAAAATGTGTACACCACTGTAGTAATCATTTCAATCATCACTTGGATTCTGTAAACATGCCATTCACTGAGACATCTATACAGTACAGAACCTGGTGCATTGCGTATCAGACGTGGTCCCTATAATGTGGCTGTTGTCTTGGCACTTCATTACAGTGGAGCATGACATGAAGGCCTCTAAGGTGCTCAAGGAGAAAAATGCGCAGTTCGCTATACTGAAAGAGCAGATGGAGATGGCAGAGGCACGTAAAGCAGATGAGAGAAAGCAGCGCTTACAGGAAGATGAACGGTTTGCGCGAGAAGCAGCACAACTAGAACAAGAGACAGCTAGGAGAACAGAACTGGAGAAGTGAGTTTAGTCTTTAGTGGGGTATTACTTCTTCATGTTCATTAGGTTATAGATTCAAATATTGCCCCAGAGAACATTTGGCTTTACTGTGGTATTTCATGGTTTTGCTAAATACCCCAGTGAGATTAGACTTACACCGTATTATGCCGCCGACATTTCCACGCCCAATACAATTCGTCGCCATTCATAAGCATTCAGCCGTCTGACACAGTTACTGTTTGGTTGATAAAAGGTTATGAAGTAGACTAGAAATCAGTGTAGTGTAGAACAAGCAAAAGTTCCTTCTGAGGGTGACTCGTCATTTTATTATTAGAATAATTATTTGGCTGGTGTCCACTATGTGGTATTTACTAGATTGTCATAAGGTCATGCTCTGCACAATGTTTGACAGATGAAATAAGTAGGATGGACGATATGGTACATGCATAATAAGCACACTGAAATAAAAATTGCCCCAGACACTCAGTATAACAGCTATTTATAAAATATTCTTGCAGATGCACACAACATTTAGAGAAAGCTTTAAATCAAACAGAATATGTTAAAAAACACATATATTGACATTGACATTTATTGATTCATTGGTACTGACGCTGTTCCACAGTAGCAGGGCAGAATGTTTTGCTTGACTTGCGCTCTTGGTTTGCGGTTGATAGGGGATGGGTTTTCTTTTCCTTTGTGTTTTATTCATGAGGTTTCTGCCTCAAAAGAACTGAGGCCATGCATGACCATTGGGTACATTCCCGTAGTTCTTTGTTGTGAGCATCCTTTACAGTCCTTCGCAACTCCTATCTTTTTCCCCGTCTCTGTCTCGTACATGCTGCAGCGGATTTTGTAAAGTGTGAATCATATTGACGATGGCTGTCTTCTGGGTTGTTGTGCTGTGTAGTCTGGTAGAAGTTTACTGATGCTCCAGATGTCCTTGTTGCCTCTATCAATAGAGCCTGATGATAGAGGCAGCAAGGACCTCTGAAACAATGTTAAACTTCTACCAGACTACACAGCACAACAACCCAGAAGACAGAAATCTTCAGACTCACTGCCATGAAAACCTCAAATCCTAATATGTGGATCATATTGTTTAATTATTTTTTTTACAAATTTTGTTGTACTGATTACATTTGTCGTGGCAGGATTGATTTTTATTGCATTAAACTGATATTCATTAAAGTGAAAAGTTTCTTTCATAAAGATATATAGTAAATTGGTGGGATCTGGAAAAAAAATTTGTTTTGCCGTTTGTTAGGATGATAGTTTGTCGTAATTCCATTAAAAATGCAGAAAATTGTTAATATTTGTGAATGACAGTAAGAAATCTTAATTACCTACATGACTTAAGAGTAGATTAAATTCATACATACCTTCTGTTTTCCCATCTTTTGTTTAAAAGTATAAAGATTAAAGTGCTTAATTTTTCATGCTATATATCGTGAATCTTGTTCTCTCACCCTAGATGAATGGTAATTAAGAACAAAATGTTAAGTAAAATGTGTTAACCTAAGAGGGGCATAAGGAGAGGCATAGAGGCCCAGCTACATTTGTAGTATAGAGCCACGCAAGACGTAATGTTAAAACTGCGTCTGAGACTCTACTGCTCCAATCTTTTTGAAGGTCACGATGTGGAAAATATATGTGGTTCTGTTTTGAGTCATCAGTTTGAAATGGTACTTGCTCCTTTCTATTTGTATAATTTGATTAGCACATTCTTCCTCATAAACATTGTCAAGCGTTCTACGTATGCCTTTACCTATCTCTTTACAGAGCTGATTTGGTGCGCTATTATTCAGTTCTCACTGATGTGGCAGAGAAACGCTTGCAGCATGCGGAGTGGCGTATTTCGCGTATGAAACTGCAAGAAAAGAGACTGGAAGTGAAGTCTGATGACACAGAGCCCGTGACAACCGTATGGAGACCAAATAACAACAATGACCTTGAAGATATCAACAGCAACCTGCCTGTGTTTAACATAATGCACCTTGAAGAGACAACAAACACCTGTGTCAACACTCAGCACAGTCCTGAAGCAACGAACACGGCCAGGAAGATCTCTGATGTACAGAACAACGTGGAAGAAATCAACACAGAGTTTAATATAAACAACTCTGGACTTGATACAAAGAACTCTAGTGCATGTGTGACTCGGGGCTACGACAGCAAGGTTGACATATCAGCAGTCATTGAATCAGTGAGTCAGTCTTCTATGAATGAAGATCCTCAGATTGATGAACATATCACAGATAATAAGAGCAGCAGGGTATCAGATTCTGAGTTGAATAGGAGAGATGTGGACATGCAATACGCTGAGGTGCTAAGTGTCGTTTCAGTGGAGGTAAGTTTTGCTAATTTGCCTGTTGCTTTCTGTCAGTATTGAAACTTGGTCTCTTTCTGAAGGGAAGAAAAGAATTGTGGGTGTTTTGGAACAGGGTGCTGGGGTGAATATTTAAGTCTTAGATGTCTAAATATTCCAAGGGACTGGGAGTAAAACAAAAATGGAGAAAAATACATAATTAAGAGCTTCAGAATTCATACGTTTCACCAAATATTAAGTAAAGTTTATCCTACTACACGCCATGTAGGCGTTTGGGGTGAGTGGAGGTATAGCTCCTCTCTTCCTTGACCTCGGCACTAGATGGGGGGTGAGTGGTCAGCATCACGCCTCGGCCGGCTTTACCCCCGGGAAAGGACCCCCGGTACCCATTGTAGAGGAGGCTGGGTGGGCCCCAGAGCCGGTCTGGACGCAGAGGCTAGAGGAAAAATCCTCTGCCCCCGTCGGGGATCGAATCCCGGTCGTCCAGCCCGTAGCTAGTCACTATACTGATTGAGCTATCCCGGCTCAATTCACCAAATATTATGTTTATCAAATCAAAGAGGAAGAGTCTGGAAAGACGTAGCAAACATGGGAAGGTGAGAAATGCACACAAAATTTTCGATCGTCGCATTTTTCGATCGTCGTGATCACAAACAATAAAAACAAAAAGTTACCCAAGTTACCAAGTGATCATTCGTGAACCATGCCAAGTCTGATTTGAGGGATCTAGGCAGTCCAGAAACTGTTATTATTCACGTGGGTACAAATGACTTAAGATCAACGAGGAATTTGGACTTTGTAATGGGAGAAGTGTGTGCGCTGGTGGCTACAGTAAAGAATAAATGTCCGAACTGCAAGCTTGTCCTGAGTGGAGTGCTAAGGCGTAGAGAAGTGTCATGGCGGCGTATTGGTGCTCTTAATGAGAGATTAGACTGGGTTGCAAACGTCCTTGGAATTACATTTGTTGATCCGAACAGCTGGATACAGGAAGGGGATTTTGCTGGGGATGGACTGCATCTGAATGGACGGGGAAGGAGACGATTAGGACAGCTGTACGCTAGAGTTAGTGGACTTGATGGTGGAGGAGCAGCACGAAGGAAGACGTGACACGTTTGGGTGGACGGCACTCACAGAACGAGGACAACCAGGGAAACGCGGCATTCATCAACTGGAGAACAGAAGGCTTTGCATGAAATAAGGGGAACAGAGACGAGTAAATTGGTGAGTAGGGAAATAGAAGCTAGGGCAGGGGCAGAAACTTTAACTTCGGTAGCAGCATATAGGGTTGAAGGCAAGTCGTTAGTGGTGCTGCAGGTTAACTGTAGGAGTATCTATAATAAAGCCTTAGAGCTTTGGAATTTAGTTGACACGTATAACCCCGATATTGTTATAGGCACGGAGTCTTGGCTTAAAGAAGATATTAGCAATGCTGAAGTTTTTAGGACAGATTTTACAACTTTCAGGAGAGATAGGTCTGCCCGTGGTGGTGGGGTTTTCATATGTGTTAAACATTTCATTGCCTGTACGGAGTTATGGGTAGATGAGGATTTTGAGATGATTGCGGTAGAAGTGAAAGGAATAGATACAAAATATTCGTGGGAAATTATAGGAATATACAGAGCTCCTAACGAGGACATGCAAGTTTTTGAAAGATTGGCAGCACGAACTAGTCATTTAGGAAATTCTACGAAGCGTAGTATCATTGGGGGTGATTTAAATTTGCCCTACGCAGATTGGAAGGGAAACGTGGAAGGTACTAGCAGAAATCAGGCATTTATAAATAGACTGGTATGGGAAAATGGGTACAAGCAGGTAGTCGATAGGCCAACCCGAGGGGATGCATTGCTGGATGTTTACCTGGTCCGGCCTGAAAGTTCGCTCACCTCTTGCAGCATTGTGCAGGGGATCAGTGACCACAGTGGGGTAATATTAGAAGTGGAATGGGAAGAAAAAATCCGTGAACCGCAGGTAGAAAGATTAGTCCCCATGTTCCATAAAACAAATGTTTTAGGATTACAAAGCTTTCTTCGGGAAAAGTTTAAATTATGGGCTGGAAATGGTAGTAGCGTGGAAGAGATATGGGAAAGCTATAAGGATATAGTCTTCGAGGGTATCGATCGTTTTGTACCTCAAAGAATCCTGAGTAAAAATCCGGATCCGGAATATTATACCAAGGAAGTGAAACGTCTGAAGGTAAAGGTGAGGAGGGTTTATAATAAGAGAAATTCTGGAGGGCAGTACCAAGCGGAGCTGAAACGGTTATCCAAGGAGTTGCTGATAGTAAAAAAGAAGGCTCAGGAGACATTCTTAACTTCGGTCTTGCAAAGAGAGGGGAGAAGCTGGACAGAGTTTTACAAATATGTTAAAAGACGTAAGGGTAATAGAGAAACTATTCCGGCAATCAAGGGCGTTAAAGGAAACCTCATCACAGATCAAACAGAAAAGGCCAACTCCCTTAACGCTTATTATGCGTCGGTATTCAGTTGCGAACGGATAAATAACCAGCTAATCCAATCAACAGATTCAGATAAAACGTTTACCATTAGTATCAATATCATAAGGAAACGGATAGCAGCAATCGGGAAAAATAAATCCGTCGGACCAGATGGCATCCCCGGGGAAATTTTAAAGTTAGGTGGGGAAGCAATGATTCCATACCTTGCGCGTCTGCTGGAGGTAACGATGAACAACAATTCTATCCCAGGGGACTGGAAGAAAGCTATAGTGGTCCCTATTTATAAAGGGGGAGATCGATCGGTAGTTGGGAACTATAGACCGGTCAGTTTAACCTCGGTGGTTTGCAAGCAAATGGAGCACGTTATAGCAGGGTATCTAAGGCAAGTCTGGGAAAGGAGTGAGTGGTTATATGAGGGTCAACATGGGTTTAGACCAGGGTACTCATGCGAAAGTCAAGTAGTCACGGTTTGTCAAGATGTTGCTGATTCATTGGACGAGGGAATCAGGACTGATGCGGTTATAATAGATTTCTCAAAGGCATTCGATTTAGTCCCACACGATAGGCTGATTACAAAAATTGCTGCAACCGGTGTGGACTTGAGGGTAGTGTTATGGGTAAAGGAATTTCTCTTAGGACGTTCGCAAAGAGTAAGAGTGGAAGGACAGCTATCTCATGAAGTCAGGGTAACGTCAGGAGTGCCGCAAGGGAGCGTATTAGGTCCCTTGCTATTCCTAGCTTATGTTAATGATATTTGGAAAAACATTGATTCAAATATACGGCTTTTCGCTGATGATTGTATAGTATACAGGAAAATAATGGATAGTAGTGACATTGATAAGTTACAGACAGATATGAATAGATTATGGGAATGGGCGGTAGAAAATGAAATGAAGATAAATCCAGGTAAAAGTAAAGCAGTCAGCTTCAATAGAGCTAGGGTGAAGGATAAGCTGAGTTACTTTTTTGGGGATCAATTAATTCCAGAGGCAAATAGCTTTAAGTACTTAGGAATACTTATTCGCAGTGATCTGAGCTGGGCAGATCATGTGAATTATACACTAATTAAAGCATGGAAGGCTCTCCATTTCGTAATGCGTATACTAAAAAAGGGAAATAACAATACGAAACGTTTAGCTTATACGTCGCTAGTGAGACCGATACTTGAATATGGAGCTGTGTGTTGGGACCCTTACAGGGAAGGACAGGTAAGAGCACTAAATCGGGTGCAGAAGAGAGCGGCTAAATTTGCTAATTTCACGAACGAATCTGGTTGGGAAACATTGGCACAGCGTAGATTGATAGCCCGAATGTGCGCCCTTTTCAAAGCATACACGGGGGGCCGGGCTTGGAAAATGATAGAGGATAGATTATTAAAGCCATGCTACCTGGGCAGGGACGATCATACTCGGAAAATTAGGACTAGGAAACAAAGAACGGATGTAGGCAAATATTCCTTTGTAAATAGGACCATAAGAAGCTGGAACCAATTACCTCCAGGCGTGCTAGAGTCTTTCCCCTGTAAATTAGGCACCTTTAGAAAGAGGGTCAGAAAAGTAGTTACAAGCTAAGGGTTATTAAGTTGGGAATAAATGGTGATAAGTGAAGTGAAGTGTCTTAGTCTCCAAGTGATGAAGGGCTGTAGTTCTTTGGGATAAAATTTTCATGTACTGAGAGCGGACTTTATATTCCACTCTTAAGTATTGTGATTAATTAGTGGATGTGTGTTTTTTTATTGTGTGTCAGATGTTTTATTTTGAGTGTGGTATGTTGTATTGTTGTGTCTCATTGTATTGTTGTGTGAGTGCATCAGTTCATGACGTTTGTAATACATTACAGTTATTGTCTTATGTCTAGGTGGTATTAAGTTCTTTTTTTTAAGTTAAGTAAAGATGGATCTTACACAAATAATGCATAAGGGCATGGACTGGATTTACTTGGCTGGGGATAGTATTGAGTGGTGAGCTTTAGTGATCGCACTAAGAAATGAAGATGGCTGTCTCCTGAAACGTTATTTAGTATCTCCCAGGCTACATGGCACATGAACCCAGAAGACAGCCATCTTCATGTTCATACTTGTTGCTGTGAGAACCTCAGATTACAAGAAGAAAAGGAATATTTTGTTAAATTTTCATCAGCTTTTCAAGAACTGCTGCATGAAGTTAGCTAGTTTAAAGCTATCGAATGAATATGGCCTCTAACAAGAAATCTTTGTACATTTTTGTGCACATTCTGTATAATAATGTTAAAAAAATGGTAAGTTTTTCAATGTCATCGTGGATAATCAAGAGTCTACTATATATTTCTTAAAATGTTTTATCATAATGATAACAGTATCCTGTTTTGACTAATAGATTTTCTGTTCAAAGTTCATGGGTATCATTGACTCATTCAGTAAGTTTATGTTAGTGTAGACATGAACATTTAACTCTGTCCATTCATTGGATCTCTAAAAATAGCCAACAAGTTTTCATTTCAGCTTACTATTCCTTATTTTATAATGTTTGTGCCTGGTGTGAATGTCTTGCAAACTTATGAGGTGGGAACACCACTAGAACCACTGCTAACATATTTACACAGGTTCTTGATATTATGGTTGATAAATAATAGGTTATCGAAAAATATACAACTTTTATTCAGATACATTTTTATTGGTGTATAAAACAATGAGATTGTGGTCTCACAGAATCTGTACTTAGCTTTTTGTTTGATGACAGTAAATAATGAATCATTAGCATGCAAAACTCATGCATGGAAATGGATCACCACGTAGATTGCAGCAGCTGAAGTAAGCATCATAAATATTTCCTACAAATTATAATCTATTTGGAATAAGAGTTGAAGTAATAAGTGACATTTTAAGTTCTTAAGAAATATATGTAAGGCTTTACTGATGTAATAACAACAGGCATTATTTTTTACCATAAAAAAGGGGTTTGTGGCTATAGATTACTTATCTGTAGGTCCGCCATTAATGTGTCTCTTCATTAGTGTATCTGAAATTATTAGGAAGCTACAGTCTCTTCAGTGGATATTAGGTACGTGGTATTCATGGGTAGAGATAATTAGACTCAGTATTAAAAATATATATTAAAATTAGCCGTCAATCACAATATAATATGATTAAAAGATTAAAATATCATTTTACGTTCCCTATCGAGTACTCGATTTACATGTGGAACATACACGACATGTTTCGGCTATATATAGCCATCATCAGGTGTTATGTATTTAAACTTATCACTGAATTACTGATAAGAAAAATGAAGACTAAAAATCATTAAAAATCAGTAATTAAGTGAAAAGTTTAAATACATAACACCTGATGATGGCTATATATAGCCGAAACATGTCGTGTATGTTCCACATGTAAATCGAGTACTCGATAGGGAACGTAAAATGATATTTTAAATTGACTGACATTTCATAAGATCTCTGTGGAGGCAGTAAGCTCCTCTGAAATCTTGTTTGACGTATACCAGACTTCACAATGTAACATTTCAGAAGATGATCATCTTTCTCTTTTCTTGATCACAGAGTATGATGCAGTTACTTCCCTTCTTATTTCAGATCCTGAAGCCAGAAAGCTTTGCCACTGATGATGCAGAGGATGCAAACAACAGTATGTCCTTTGAAACAACCATTTCAGAATCAAAAACTTATACTACACTGCCAACGAAAACCAAGTTTGTCTTGAGTACGGAGCCTGACAAATTAAAACAAAACAAATTTCTTGTGACTGGTGGGAGGACTGACACGACATTCAGTTACAGACTGCATAAGTCTCTGGATGATGCTCCACTTGTAAACGTTACGGACGGTCTGATGCGCCCTGTAAAGGATTCGACAACATTGTCGGCAGTGGATGTGGGCGGTGCCGACATGTCTTCCATTAACATCAACTTGCAGAAGTCCATCCTCGTTCCGCTAAAGATTCAGGTGATTGTCTTCTCCTCTTGTTGTATGATGATTTTTAGCATTAAAGCGTCTTTAACTTTCGGTGTAAGCAGCGTTCTTTCCCGTGTTCCTGCCTCAGAATCAGATTCATTTGATTTATAAGGAAAGCCGAAACACCATAACTTGGGACTCTAGAAAAGAAGGTACCTGCTACTAATTGTATTGTAAATTCTTTTTAAGCCACTGAATTTAATACATATGTAAATATTTAAAACATGGTATTCCATAATTTTGTGAAGTTAGCAGTTTTTTTTTTTATATAATAAGATGGCTGTTTTCTGGGTATTGTGCTGTGTGGTCTGGTAGAAGTTTACCGACGTTTCAGAGGTGCTTGGTCTCACGAGAAATTCATTGAATGTCAGAGGTATGTTATGGTATCTTTAACTGTTTTAGATAAAACCTATAGTTTTCAGTTCTCTGACATGTTGACTTAAACTTCGCTGCATTCAAGGTACTTGCAACATGATCTTTTGTGTAGGACGTACAGATATGTACATCTTTTCACATCATACTACTGGTATTAATTTTTGTTGTATTTTTCTTTCATCATTATTTCTAATAAAAATTTTATGATGCTGTAGTTGTATGCATAGAGCTTATATCCATTGCATTTATCTGTCACATTAGACAGTTTCATGGATATCTTTTATAATTACAAATTTATTTTATTCCGATGCTATAGTTCCCGTTGGTTGATAATATCATATTTCTCGTTGTGCTTACTTTATGGGAGTCATATAATGTAATGATGTAGTGTTCGTGTACCTTTTCTTCGTAATGCAGATGAGTCTAGTGAACAGCGCCATGCTCAGGTTCTTCTTGCAAGATCAGGGGCTCCTCTCACACCTGCACAGCCTGCGAAATTACTTCTTTCTGTTGGATGGAGAGTTTGGGCGGAACATGACAAGTATGTTGTTTGAGCGCGTGTACCAGGTGGCGTGCCCGTCGGATCTGTTGAACTGTGTCGCGCTCAACTCCATCCTGTCCAAAGCTCTGACACGTCCGGACCCCAACATGGACAGGCTGAGTTTCGGTGTGAAGTATATTCCGCCGCACTTCTCGTATTCTTCGCCGCTCTTGCTGGACTGCATAGTGCTACAATACAGGATGGCCTGGCCCCTCAACATCATTTTCACTGAGACAGCTCTCCAGAAGTACAACGATGTGAGTTGTTGTTGGTTTTTTTATATATATATATATATATATAGATTGCCCAAAGCAAGATCAACCTCCTAAATGCTCTCCTTAATGTATGTGTGTGGATCGGGTGCTCTGTCTGAGTGTCCTTTCCATTGTAAGCTGCCTTCATGTATTTATATGAGTTCTTTCCCTCTGGATATTAACGTAACAGACTTAAAACACTCTAAAATTAAGTGCTGATAATTTAAATGTAATTATATGTGAGATTTGTCCACCAAATGATTTGTTTGAAAGTTTGAAGATTGACTGGGCATGATATTTTTCAAATGCATGCTATCTGCTTACAGTGAATTTCTGATTTTAAGATCCTTATTCTAAGGTTTTCCTGCATTTTGTATTTATTCTTGATGATCCCAGCCATAGCTGTGTATAATATAATACATTCTTTGCCCTACTTTAAGGTTTCTTGATTAAAAAAATTAAATTTGCTTTTGTACATGAAATCTGGACTTGGTTCAGTGTTCTTTCAAAAACTGCGGTGGCAGGACTGTAACAGTGAAGCATGATGTAAGACAGCAGAACAGATTAGGATGCAAATTATATGTTACAGGTAAAAAACAGATCATTTATTTTAACCTGTGGATGCCATTCTTTGATTTCGTAGTTTTCAGTACTTCAAACTCTTCCAGCTGATTGAAAACGTTTTCAGGTTTTTTCCAGAAAGTGTATGACGTATTTGGCCCCTCATTTAGCAGATGGGTTCATATGAAAATGCCTAGCAGATACTGGATGGGAATGTGTGATATAAAGTGTTAATAAAGGCTATGAGATTACAAACGGAAAACCTCGGGTCATAACTCGCTGCCGTGAGAACCTCAAATCCTACCTACAACAGGTTAGGTCAGTGCCGAGTGTGACTTAAAAGAAATTCAGTACAAAGTATAACTTATTCTTTGGAGACTACTTATGTCAGTTCTTTGTCTCATTGACAATGCCCAGTCCGTAGCCAGTCTCTGTTCTGACTGAGCTACGCCTGCTCACTTACTCAACAAACAGAGTACTTTATACCAACCGGAGGATTTGTTCCAAAAGTATCACCACAGGCCATTGCATACTCAGTGTGAAGATGGAGCAGTAAGGAATTCCAAAACAATAAATGTACACTTCTACACAAAGCAAGAATGAAAATGAAGAGATCGTTGAACAATGTAACCTTCTCTGTTGTCCAATAGAATAGTGTTATGCCCAGACAGTCCTTTCAGAGTCTCCATGTATAACAGCAAATTAGCAGAAAGATTTTATGTTTAGGACATTTAAAATTGTATTACAATAAGTTCTTTAACTGCTGTGAAGCCTTGGTGTAATTAAATGTGTTACATTGAATTGTATGTATATGTTTCATCTCAGAATTTTAACTGTTGGCTTTCAGAGGACTTTGTTGTGCTGTCTTATGGTTGAGTGTGCAACATACGAGGTGCGATCGAAAGGTTTCCAGACTG